ATTTCAAAAGATATATATATATATATATATATTGTATTGTGTGCTCTACCTATTGACATTTGAATTTTTGAGTGCTTATATTCAACCTCTAAGACAATTAGAGAGGCTTTGGAAGAAGGGTTGTTGTAGAAAGCAAGCATTAGTACTTTACTTTGTGTGTGCGTGTGTGTTTTCCTTTGTAATTAATTTTTGTCCTTTTTTTTAATAGATTTATCTAATGTTTGCCTGCCTAACAAATTAAAGGTATAATAAATATATTTTTTAATTAATTTATATTAAAAAATATAAAAATTTATCTTTACTTTAATACAATTAACATGTATAAAGTTTTAATTGGCTAATTAAATAAATCAAAGTTAATATTTATATTTTTCATACTATTTAATTATAAAGAATTGATTTAACATGTGCTACACGTAATTAATATTTTTTTATATTAATTAGTATAAAAAATAACAAAATGTGACATTAATTTTATCATCAATGTTACATGTATTATTTTAATTAAATTATTGATTAAATAAATGTTAAATGTTAACCTATGACCTTATGATATAAGGTGGAAAAACCTATCAATGATAACTTTGAATCTTTTCAAGAATACAAAGGACTGGCAGTTTTATCAATCATAAATTTTAAAAAGAAATGATGTTAACTTATTGTAATGGAAGAAATTTAATAAAAGAAAAAACCAATTATGTAGGGATGATTATTGTTAAGTGAATTATATATCCGGGTTGTATTCGTCTAATCAAATTTTATGCTTGCTTCATATATAATATTTGTTCGAGGAAAAATATTTAAAATTATGTTATTTTTTAATAAAATAATATGAAAAAAATTAAAATAAACTTTATTTTAAAATTAAAATGTTTTAATTTATTTCAATAGAATATATTAAAAGATCATGATTTTGAAATATTTTTTCACTTAAATTTTTATAAATTTGATCAATAAATAGTTTTTTCTTATAAATTAATTGAACAAGATGTGGATTAGAGATACTTACGGCGGACATAATAGAGGCGTACATAATAGAGCCTTTAGAAATATATACGTATATAGAGCAATGGGTGCCCTGCATAAACAAAAGTAGCTAACAGTTAGAAAAAAACCAGTTAGGGACGGATGATTGTTGTTAAAAAATAATATTGTTTGTTGGTAGTGATCATCAGCATTTGGTTGCTGACAATAATTATCTCTTAGTTTTTTTTTTATGGTAATAATTATATCTCTTAGTTGCATTCATTTAAATGAAACTAGTATTATCAAAGCCGCTTGCAGGTCATTGAGATATATATATATTATTAAAAATAAATAATAACATAAAATATATAAAAAAAATGTGATATACATAATTAGATCATCAGCATTTGGTTGCTGACAATAATTATCTCTTAGTTTTTTTTTTATGGTAATAATTATATCTCTTAGTTGCATTCATTTAAATGAAACT